TCATTGTCTCTCTCTCTCTCTCCCCAGTCCAACCTACAGAAGCATAAAGAAAAGTTGTGAGTATAGAGTTTGTGAAATTCTTGTGAAAAGTTGTGGGTTGATTATTGGTGTGAGCTTGTGAAATTCTCAATGTTTGACTGCACTGCATACATTTTAGTGTTTAGAGATTGTGAAATTCTCCTTGTGAGATTGTTTGATTGCACTACATAAATTCTACTATGAGCTCTATTATTTTCATTTGTTGGGGTTTATACTTTATTTATTGTCTTATATTTTAGACTGTTAGTTTATAATTTAAAGTTTAAAGTTAGTGTGTTGTGTTGTGGGATTTAATTACTTGTAGCTTTTTGGTTTTCGATGTCATATCAGAATGTCTTCATTCGGAACACTAATTGAATCTCAATCTACACCAACTAGCTCCTTGAGGTATGCTTCTCTACTTAACTTTACAAATTGTATTGAAAATTGAATACATTGAAATTGAATACATGTTTGATGATTTTTCTCTACTTAACTTTACATGTTTGATGTTATTTTTATAATTATTGTGATTTTTTAGCCTATTTATTAGTATTTATAATTATTTTTTAATTTTTTATTATATTACAGGTCGGACCAGTGACCCGACGGTTGAACTAATAACCCATTGACCCAGTCCCTTTTGCTGGATTGACGTCCGGGCTGGGTTTTAAAACTATGGTGCAAACAACTTATTAATCTACAACAAGGCAACATATCTATCACAGAGTATATTCAAAGATTTGAAGACCTAATGTTGAAAAATCGTATTGTAGAAGAACCTTGTCAAACAATTGCTCAATTCAAAGCTGGTTTAAGAGCAAATACAAAGGCAAAAATACTTGGACAGCCACTATACAACGTAGAACATGCATTCCAAGTGACACTTGGTACGGAGATGTACCTAAATTTCCTTCACCAAGTAAGGGGTTTCTTCTTTCCAAAGGGCTAAAACTCAAAGTTATTTGGATTCTACTTCCAATTAGAGAAGATTCCTCAAAAGCAACTCAAAGAAACAAGAGATCCACTAATTCAAGATCAAGGAAATTAAGTAGAAGAATCAACACAATCCCAAGCAACTACGCTACTTACTTGTCTAGAGGTTAAGGTAAAAAGTGAATATCCAAACAATTTTTTTATTATGGAGCCTAACAAGATGGAAAATCCAGCAACAAGTACTGAATCAAATGTGCTCTTAGAGATGAGTACGTTACTATCTAATAACTTTGAAATAGTACCAAAAGTGTTGCCCGGTGAAATTGTTCTCATTAATGACTTTCAACCGGCAACAATGATGTCCCAAGAGCTTGATTTGTTTGCATCTTTCAAGGATTTACATGAAGAGTCACCAATGCTTCTTTTTATCCACTTTGCTCTACAAATTGATTTTATCATCCCAGAAAACTTCAATGACACAATCAAGGGGATCAATTTTTAAATCTTTTTCTTATTCCGTCAATTAAAGAAGAAAATAAGGCATCTTAAAGCTTCTAAGAAATAGGAAGATATACAAGTTCAAAATGTTTGGACTTTTATACTACAACACTTTAAAACTCGAGGTTGAGTTTTCTCCGACCAAAGGAGAATGATGCAATCCATAAGATGTTCAAGAAAATGCAAATTCGAAAATGTGAAAGATAATGGAATTGATTTTCCATCAAGACAAAGATCCATATGGAACCTTGCATTCTTATTTTAAGTCAATTTGCTAGTATTAACATTTTATATGTCCTTTTAATTTTTTTGGTGTCAAGGGTATTTTTGTAATTTCTTAAACAAGTCATATTTTTTTAGTCAAATTCTAGTGTTGAATATTCTAGAATTTAAAGTTCTAGTCCTAGTTAATTTTAGTTTTTTAATTTTTAGAGACCTAAAGTTTTTGAGTCCTAGAGGCTTTGGAATCCTAATCTTTTGGAATTAGGAGTATTTAGAACTCTATATATAGTTAATGTCACTTTTAATAAAAGGGAGATAGAGAGACATTCAAAATTTTCAGCAATAACATAGGATTTCGTAGGCATCACACCTAGGGTTAGAATCGCATCACACAACTCAAAAAACATGTAATTACTGAAAATTCTGAATATCTCTCTCTATCTCCCTTTTATTAAAAGTAACACTAATTATATATAAAGTTCTAAGTACTCATAATTCAAAAGATTAGGATTTCAAAGTCTCTAGGACTCAAAAATTCTAGGTCTCTAAAAATTAGAAAACTAAAATTAACTAGAATTAGGACTTTAAATTCTAAAATATTCAACACTAGAATTTGACCAAAAATTATGACCTCTTCCAGAAATTTTGGAAATTACAAAAATACTCCCGACACCAAAAAATATTAAAATGACATATAAAATACTAATACTAGCAAATTGACTTAAAATAAGAATACAAGGTTTCATATGGATCTTTGTCTTAATGGAAAGCCAATTTCATTTTCTTTCACATATTCGAATTTGCGTTTCCTTGAACATCTTATGGATTGTATGAGGGGGTGCAGTGCTTATTGTAGTAATTCTCATCAATTGGATGTCTTCAAGAGTTCTTGATTTTACCACTCCTATAAGATTGCTTCAAAGGTCAATTTTTGTTTACTCTATCCACCAAAGGTGTTTGATTATGTGTTTTGAACATAATTATCGAAGGACCAAAGGAAAGTTAGATTCAAAGGCCTTGTGTTGTGTCTTTATTGGCTACTCTACTACCCACAAGGGATACAACCGTTATCATAGTTAGTCCCGGAAATAGTATGTTAGTAGAGATGTCACATTTCATGAGACATAGTAGTATTTCTCCACTTCTCCACCTTTTCTTCAGGGGAGCAGTGCATTGAAAATGAGATGGTAGAGCATGGATCCTTTTCTTACCTCATAATTAGTGCTTGAGCTAAGGAGAGAAATCTAGCCAGGGGGTGCCTCAGGGAGAAACACAGTTCTGGGGAACAAACTACTCTTGGAAAATTACATAGGGATGATTTATGATGCTATACTTGACAACAAACTAAGTAGATCACCACCAATGAGCCACCAAGTCACTCATCATCTCCAAACTAAGTTCCTAAGATCTCTTCCCCTAATCAAGTAATTAGTCTCCTTATAGTACTCATGTTGATAGTTATTTATCAATTGCTATTTGAAAAAGATTTTGGATTTGTATTCAACATCCTATTCTTTCTCAGAGTTGGAATGAAGCCCTTAAGAGTCCAAGTGAAAAGCAGATATGGTAGAAAAAATGAGAGCTTTGGTTAAAAATGAAATCTATGAGCATATGTCTCTTCCGGTCAAGAAAAAATCAGTAGACTATAAGTGGGTGTCCACAGTTAAGTACAATGCCGATGATACAGTAGATAGATACATAGCAAGATTGGCAATTAAGGGATTTACTCAGACATATGGCATAGACTATCAGGAGACATTTGCCCCCGTAGCTAAGATGAATTTCATTCACGTAATTTTTTCTTCTGCTACTGGTCTGGAATGAAATCTACGACAATTGGACGTAAAGAATGCATTCCTTCATGAGGACTTGGAGGAAAAAGTATACATGAACATTTCTCTAATTTTTCTGCTCCAGCTACGGAGGGAAAGGTATTAAGTTAAAGAATCCCTTTATAGACTAAAGCAATCTCCTAAAGCTTGGTTTGACAGATTCCATAAGACAAGGATCAAGTTTGGGTACAAGCAAAGTCATGCAGATCACAACATATTCATCAAACAAGGGAGTGATAAGATCTCAGTTCTTATAGTATATATTAAGCACATAATACTCAGGTGATAATTTAGAGGAAGTGTCCAAACTTAAAGTTCACCTTCCTAAAGAATTTGAGATCAAAGAGTTGGGCGTTTACGCTATTTCTTAGGGATTGAAATGGCCAGATCAGATAAATGCACTTTCATCTCACAGAGGAAATATATCCTTGATCTTCTAAAGAAAATCAGCATGCAAGGTTGTAAACTTGTAGACTCACCCATTGAGACAAGCCACAGACTGAGAAGTGATGGTCTGCACCTATTGAGACAAACTAGATACTGAGAAGTGATGAAGGTGATCAAGTTGATAGAGACAGATATCAGAGGCTTGTGGGATAACATATATACCTTTCTCACAATCATCCGGACATACCATATGCGGTAAGTGTTGTTAGTCAATTCATGTACGCACCTCAAGTCCCTCATCAAGAGATAGTTCATGGTATACTGAGGTATCTCAAATCATCTCTACGCAAAGGAATATTGTTCTCAAAGTAGGATCATCTGAGATTAGAAGCTTTCACAAATGCATATTAGACATGTTCAATTGATGATAGAAGGTATACTACGGGTTACTGTACCTTTGTAGAAGGAAACGTAGTTACTTGGCAGAGCAAGAAGCAAGCAGTGATGGCTAGATCTAGTGCTGAGGCAAAATATAGGGTTATGACTTATGATATTTGTGAGCTTAGGTGGATGAAAACCTAAATGAAAGACTTGGGTGTCACTAATGGTGAACCTATGCGCCCGTATTGTGATAATCAGGTTGTTATAAATATTGCTCACAACCTAGTTCAACATGACAGAACAAAAACACTTCATTAAAGAGAAGCTAAATGATGGGTTGATTTGAGTTAAATCGTAGAGTAATTAGGGTTAGGGAAAACTAAGAGAAGAAAAGAGATTAAGAGAAGAGAGTAATGTGTTAGGGTTACATAACTACATCCCAATATATATAACCACTAAAGCACCAAAAATACATCATAATATAACATAACATAATAATTTGTATGCCCTTTGTGACATCCAAGGAACAATTAGCCGATATGTTTACTAAGGGTTTACTATTAGAAATTTTCATTCAGATGTATGCAAGTTGGGCATAAAAAATATCTATGCTCCAACTTGAGAAACAGTATAGAATGTCAAGTTATTTTAATTAAGGGTATTATTGTAATTTAAAGTTTATTATGACTTAATATAAATATGGGTGATGAGAGGAGAAGCAGGTTAACTCTCATTCTCCTTAACCGTATTTTCTAATCTATTCCTTCTCTCTTTTCCTCTTTTGCCTCTTCTCCACTCTAAACCCTAAAATCCAAGATCTTTAGATTTCAATTATCTCCACTAAATGTCCAGAAATAAGATTCTTCTCTGTGATTAGATCTCTCTGTCCCTTTCAATTTAATATAGGAATTGGATTTATTTGCCTTTGGATGCTTTGCATGAAATTCAGATTTAGAAGCTGAGATGAGATTTTCATGTGTCATTTTTCTTGGCTATGATTTTGACCTATATTCTTCCTGATATCTGTCTTTGCTAAATCCAATTTCAACCACAACAATGAAAATGTTCACAATCAGTGCCCAAGTTCTATGTTAGGGTCATTTTTAAGGTAAAATACTAACAATGAGACTCAAACATGAAATAGGAAGGTCATAAGTATGTGCAAAGTCTTGATGAAAGGAACAAATTGGAGATAAGACTAATCCTTGGAAGTCAAAAGATTAGAACACAGACAGCCAATTGGTACACCAAAGAGAACTGCTTTTCAAAATTCATGGACAATCAAAGTTCAACAGTCAGATCAGGTCAAGTTGGACAGAGACAGTGAAATATGCACTAAATATTCTTAGATACTATTTGTGGAACATGGATATGCTAATGTTATCTCACATTTAGAAGTATCACAGATTAACAACTAGAATAGTATATCCACTTCTTTTATGGACATCATCTATGGCATCCTACCTAAGTATATGTTCCTTAATATTTACAAGGAGAAATCAAAACCTGCATCGAGTCAAAATTTGATGATCATTAAGAAAATAACCTAGTGTTGTTGCAATACTTCATTTTCACTGCTTAGTCAGCTAGCTGTTGGTTAAGATCCAAGTAATTCACTGATTATGAGCATTCAGATTACAGATGTGTATATTTATGCAGAGTATTATGCATTTGTGTCATTGGTGAGTTGTTATATTTTTTTCAATTTTAGATTTTAATCCTAATTGGCCTAGCTGAACCTAAGCCAAGGCCTTTTGGATATTTTGGTTGTTTTGCAACAAATGTATATTTTTGGGGCGTTTAGGAATTATGAAAAATATTATGGTGGCTTCCTTTAGAAAATAAAGACTTTGGGTTTGGTAAAAAAGTAGTGGTAAGTCTCAAGTCAAGCAATTTTTGAAGAGTTTAAGAGAAGAATTTCTAAAGGGTTACAGATCCTAAACCAGCTACGGTTTTCAAGATTTGGTGGCTTGGGTTTTGAAGATTTGACCACGCTTTATGCATGCGTGGCTAGTAAGCAAAACAACGCAGTTTTTGCTTCAATTAATTTCAGAAAACTTTCATAATCAGGTATGTTTCTTTGGTCTGAGGAGAATACTTGCCCTTTGTTTCTTAATATCAATTCTAGTAGTTGTTTCATGTTTGGATATCACACTTCTATGCTGTCTTGAAATTTCTGCACTATATCATCTATAACAATTCCCCGTTACTGCACTATTTGCATCAATTACCCTCTACCAATAATGATCACCAATATCAAACAGTTTACGAACTTAATTTCAAGTACAGTCTGTTTTCATAATTGTATTGAGAAGGATCAAACAACATTGTCCTGTCAATTTTCGGAATGCAGCCAAGAACTCTTAATGAAGAAAATGTGGCATATTATAGAAAGGAGGATTACCATTTTCTGCTTCAACAATTCCTGATGGCTCTGAAAGCTGCAAAAACAACTACTTTAAGATGGCCTTCTAGGTAAGTGGGTGTCAGTAGAAACTTAGCATCTAACAACAAGAGAATGGACAGATAAAAAAATCCGGAAGTGTCAGTTTAGTCATCTTAGGAGTTCACATGGATACACATTAAAACAATATACAGTAACAATACAATTTTCTGCTCAGCGCACAGTTACAAGAACATATGCTTAAAGCATAAAATTGTCTATGGATAGCTAAACACAATACGGCCGGCAATGGCTGTTGGAAACTTCTAATAGATGTATCTTATACAAGGTATGCCGGAGAGAATGCAAGGTATGCTGGAGAGAGAGAAAGCTTAACCTATACGTTTGCTGCAAGTTGATACTATAGTATACGAACCCCGCTCCATAACATTATGCTTAATAGATTAGGGTGAAATATAGAAACATGAAAAATGAAGCTTTGAAAAAGTTACAGAATGAAGAATTATTTTTCCATTAAGGGAATTTGTGCAAATTACAATAGACGTTACAAGCCTCCCATTTCCCAAACACAAAAGGAAGGAAACACCTGATTATCCATCTACACACAGTATGATTACTATAACAATAACACAAACATCTAAACCCAAGGCCGAGCTGTCTAGAGTGGCAGTTAGAGTATGAAACAGGATTCCTATCTGAAGCCTTTATCATTCATGAAGAAAGGTTAAGTGACAACTTTTATTTTTTTCTCTTTCGGTCCATTGCATCTCCTAGCATACTTCAAGAATCTGAGGGAAGAAAAAACTCTTTAGTTATATGCATGTTCATTGTTATTGTCAGGAAAAAATGCCGTTCTCTTCCATGTGTGTATTTCATTAAGGAAGGGTTTTACAAATTACTACAGTAAATAACAAACTAAATATTCAATAGATATAGACTCAGTTACAAATGGAAACATAGAGTATAACACAGAATTGATGTGTAAAAAATAATAAAAATGGGGAAGATACTTGTAGAATGCAAGTATATTGGTATATTGGGCCTTGCGAATATATGACTAAAGGGCACACTGGTCATTTTACTGTAATTTCAAATATATATATATATATAAAGGGGTGAGAGGCAGAGGTTTTGCTCTCTGTTTTTCTCTCTCACGGTTCTCTTTTCTCATCTGTCATCTCCAAACCCTAATGCATAAAACCACAATACTAAATGTCTTCCAACCTGAGCTGTTAGCGCTACTCCATCCTTGAAACCAGCTTTGCCTGTACCTGCTATTGTGCTCACTCTTCTACTTGCTGGATCTAGTTTCTTGATCTGAAAAGAAAAACAAACTCCAGCAGTCCAACGCATGACACCACATGCCATCATCATAAAAATTGATCCATAATGCTCATTATAATAAAATCCAAAAGAAAGTTGTACTTGATTTATACTGAAAAGAGAATCAAAATAGATTCTAAGCATATTGGAGTGGTAAAGAATTGGTAGGAGCTACAACCAAAAGAGAAAGACCACCAGGAGACACCAAACCAAAATTAGGGCATCCTCTTAAGCAAAAAAAATATGGCCAAGTAAACAGTCCAACAAAATAACCTTAGACAGGTTCTGTATCATTTACGGACACACAATGCCAATGAATTTCACTCTTAGAAAAAATATCGAAGTAGTGTCAACCTAAAGAGCAATTTAACTCGACAAACAATAATGCATTAAACAAATGATTTCTGCATCATGGTATGAGATATCAGCATTTGTTTATGATCAGCATTTGATTTAACATTGAGATAACATGATTTTGGATTAGAGCAAAGTGGGTGCAACTATAAGGCAGATGGGAAATCCTGAACCCAGGTTGATATTGCAACAATGACTAAAGTGAAACCAAAAATGTCAGTTATATAAAGAGTAGAGTTAGAAGGACAATGGGAGAGGTTAACATTCAATGAAAACTAGTAAAAGCTAGTGAGATGCTCTGTGAGGTGATGCATGGAAAGTTTACGGCTGGAGACAAAATAATAGTTTCGTCGCGAAAAGTGGTCGCGAAAAATCATTGGTGTTGTAGTAATTAGGTGCCTCATGCAATATCAGTGCTCTCAGGAGCCCGTGAGGAACATTGTCAGCGATTATCATCTCCTCTGTTTCTTCAGTTTGATAATAAAAAAATACTGTGTGATTATAAGAATCTGAAAGTACCTTGTGATTATAAGAATCTGCAAGATAAATTTGACCATCCTTTCCACATAAGACACCCAATGGATGTTGAAGCAGTACTTCAGAGCCTAATCCGTCATGGTCCCCAAACTAAAAAAATTAAACATAGTTTGACTGTAACAAATTGTTTATAGAGAAAAAAAAAATTTAAAAAGTTAAGTTTCTAATCCAAGACTGATATCTGGATAATGTGAAGCCAGAATAATAGTCTGAAGTTGAAAGAGGTATTTTTAGTTCGAAAAAGATACCCTAAACAAATTGTCTGCAAAAACTGGATCACCGCCAGCTAGTAATCTTGATCCTCCTGTTTTCAGATCAAGTGCTCGAATGGAGCTACTTTCACTATCAGCAATATACACCTCCTTTAAATCTACATAAACACACCAAGTAATGCCCATCAAATATTTGAAAGGCTATGCAAATGCCTTCATGATAGTAGTTGAAAGACATGGGAAATTTCAACTATTCCAAGGTATTACCTGGTGATAATGAAATCCCTGAAGGTTGTGCAAATGATGTGCTTGCAGAGCTATCTCAATAAAAGAAACAAAAAGAAAATGGCAACAAAAATAGTCAGGTCAAATATTTTAGACAGGATCAATTGAGTTTATATAATCACATGACAGATAATGCTCTGGTACATAACAACAATGAGATATCTTACATACAACAGAGAAACCAAAACAGAATAACATCATAAATGTTAAAGCTTCAGAAATTTACATTTTTCCGTGTTTTTTTTTACCATATAATGATCTAATACATATCAAATGTCAAGTACCTAATTATATAAATAGCATGAATGAAAATTTAGAGTTAAAGTATTTTTTGGGTAAGTAAGTTACTGTGTTTATATCTAAATATCATTCTACCTAGATGCCTTGGCATTCATATTACTAAGTGTCCATGAAGAGACTTCCTTCAGGTTGACTTTGTGAAATGTGCTTAAAAAAAGAAAGCAGAAGACCACCGTAATATCTTGAATTCATGATAAGAAACACAGAAACTTAATTTTGGGAGAGTGTCGGTGTTGGACATGTCTGCGACACGAACATGCTTGGACACATGAAAATGAGTGCCCAATTTTTTTTTTCTAGGACACATTTTGGATATGTTGAGACATTTGAAATAGTAAATAGAATATTAGGGTTAAAGAAATGAGATAGAAAAGAAAAAAAGAAGCAAAAGAAAGTAATCAATTGTATGAGCAAGATTGCCCCACACTCTCTTATTTTTATTGAACATTATCTTGTGTAATTACAATATGTTGGAGTTATAGTAGCAGCCTAGTTTATTAGGGTTTTATTAAGTTTTCTTTTTTTTACCTTTTTGTCCTTATGGTAACTCTCATTGACTATATATACAGGGACTCTACACTTAGTTTGTATCCCTTTTATACATTTCAAGTTGGTATCAGAGCATAACCTCTATCTCTAACTCTAATCCTAACCTTCGTCACCTTCCCTACTACCACCATCGACAGCCTCTCCACCGGGAAAAAAAAATAAAAAAGCCAGCCCATTATTAGCGACAAAAACCACTGCTAACCACAAAGCCTTATACCCACAAAGCCAAAAACCATATACCCACAAAGCAAAGCCAACTCTCGGCACCGACTGCCTCTGCTGCTATACCCACAAAGCCAACTCCTCACCTGAAACCCAACCCCCGAGCACATACCCACATACATACCCACCAACAGCCACCCAGTAAGCAAGCACCAAAAGCACCGATTGCCACATACCCACCAACAGCCCAAATACCCAGAACCGACGGCCTCTGTTTGCCCACCAAACATATACCAGCACATACTCCACTGAAACATATAGAGGACTGCTTCATCCTAGTTCCACCGACTTCACAAACCCACACTGCCTGTCAAAATACCCAATACCCAAAACACTGCCTGCTTCTCACAGCAATAAACCCAGCTGAAACAATATACTCAATATACCCAGCCGAAATAACATATACTCAGCCGAAACAGCCCACCGACATATTAAATCCATACCCAGCCCACTGCCCACCAATAAACCCAGCCCACTGTTGTATCTAGGATTTTTTATGAGGGGTTGAATCCTCTTTTTTTCCGTCTATTGATTTGCTCTTGATGCAGTAGATCACTTATTTAAATATTTTGAATTTCTGGGCACCATGACCTAATTATTTGGGAGCTTTTTGGACCTTCTTTATTTGTCACTACTGTTCGACTGAAGGTATATTGTTCTCCCTTATTTTATTCCTTTATTTATCTTAGAGTTGTTTTTCTGTCACGGGTGCCCTAGTATTGTTGTTGATATGGCTACTACTGAGAGACTTGAGAACCCTACTGTTGACACCTCTACCGTTGAGACATCTATGGGTACTTCCACTTTTATGTTTGACCAGTATACAGTACCTACTAGCACAATTGCATTACCAGCACTACCGGACATGATCTCTCAAAAAGTTACGGCACAGTTGTTGAATGGTCGTAACTTTGCTGAGTGGTCTCGCTCATTCCAACTTTTCTTAGGCCGTGTAGGGAAGCTTAGTTGGCTAACGGGATCTCACCCAAAGCTAGCTGATGCCAACCCTGGATATTCTGTGTGGTTCTCTGAGAACTGCGCCATTCTTGGATGGTTATTTGGCTCGATAGAGCCATCTGTTTGAAGGATCCACCAGTTTCATAGCTCTGTTCCAAAGCTATGGAGCGCACTATCAGAGATGTATGCTCAGTTAGGACGAGGAGTTCGTGTTTATGAGCTTTCTCAGGAGCACTCATATGCTCTGCAGGGAGATATGACCGTTCAGGATTATTATGGCTATTTGACCCAGCGTTGACTTGAGTATGAGACTTTACGTCCTGTTGCTGCTATTCTGAAGATAAAGCCCGAGGGAGCAACATTCTTGCATACTCGAGAAAAGGAGGATAGGATTCACAAGTTCCTTATGGGGCTTCGTGATGAGTTTGAGGGATCTCATTCTCAGATCTTGTCGATGTTGACACTTCCTTCTCTTTATGAGGTGTATGGGATGATTGAGCAGTATGAGCGTCGAGTCCGTATTGTATCACTTCCAGTTGAGGCTTTGACTCCTTCGGATGACCAGATGGCCCTTGCAATTATTGCAGGGTATCCTCAGTCAGGGGTGGGCAGCACTCGGATCAGCGCTGTCAGGGTGCCTCAGATCAGCGCAGACAAAGGGATTCTCGTCAAGGTGCCTCAGATCAGCACAGACAGGGGGATTCCCGTCACTGTGATTATTGTGGCCGATCAGGACATCTCAGGGCTACTTGCTGGAAACTCCATCCAGAGCTTAAGCTGCCTCCTCGCAGCCATAGTGTTGCTATTACTGAGGTACCACCACCCACTACCGCTACTCTTGCTATTGCTGCTCTACCTTGGCAGAGTGATATGAATGCTATCACTTCTCNACTCCATCCAGAGCTTAAGTTGCCTCCTCGCAGCCATAGTGTTGCTATTACTGAGGTACCACCACCCACTACCGCTACTCTTGCTATTGCTGCTCTACCTTGGCAGAGTGATATGAATGCTATCACTTCTCGATTAGATATACTTATGTCTGCTCTGACTTCTCGAGAGTCTGACTACTACTACTATCACCACTACAGGTATACCTCGTGCCTTTCACGCTTGTGCCAGTTCATCTCCCCTTTGGATGTTGGACTCGGGTGCGAATAGTCACATGACAGGTGAGGCCCATCACTTCACCACTTTTGACGAGCAGTTACATACACAGGTTCAGTTAGCAGATGGGACATATGCCCCTATTGTTAGTAGGGGTACAGTCCGCCTCCCAGATGGCCTTACATTACGTTCTGTTTTTCATGCGCCAAAGTTGGCCATGAATCTATTATCTGTACATCAGTTAGCCAGAGATTTTCAATGTGCGGTTGTATTCTTATCTGATTCGTGTTATTTGCAAGACCTGAGTACCAGGAGGATTATTATCAAGGGACATGAGAAAGATGGACTGTATTATCTTGGCAATCCACCTCCAGTTTCACCAATTCCTCCACCTACATTACCTACACCTGCTTTGTCTTTTTCTGTTCCTAGCTTACATGCTAGTATTTTACCTAGTAGTTGTCGTTATAATTTTTTGTCACAAACTGTTCAGTTGTGGCATGACTGTTTTGGACATACAAATTTTAAATATTTATGTGTGTTGTTTCCTGCTTTGAGCAATGCTTGTGTTGGTGGTAAACTTGACTTGTTATATGTTCCCTATCGAAACATGTTAGGGCCAGTTATATTCCTCGCATGCACCAGTCACCTAAGTCATTTGACCTAATACACTCTGATATTTGGGGACCCTCTCCCGTTACTACTTTGTCAGGTGCCCAATATTATGTGACATTTATAGATGATCATACCTGTTGTACTTGGATCTATCTTTTGCATAAAAAGTCTGATGTACTTCCTATAGTTACTCAGTTTTTACAAATGATTAAGACACAATTCGATGTCATTGTTCGTGCTCTTCGTTCGAATAATGCCAAAGAATATGTGTCTGATGCCTTAGTGTCTCACCTTTCTTCTCAGGGTATCCTTCAGCAACTCACTTGTCCATATACTCCTGAGCAAAATGGTGTTGCTGAGAGGAAAAATAGGAGTTTGATAGGGATGGTACGTTGTCTGCTTAGAGGCATGAGGGTACCAAAATCTTATTGGCATTTTGCTGTTTTGACTTCTACCTTTCTGTGCAATCGTACGCCGAGTCGTGTTCTTCAGTATAAGGCTCCCTTACAAGTCTTATTTCCTGAGCGGACACTTTTTTCGGTCCCCCCTCGTGTTTTTGGATGCACATGTTTTATTCAGGATCGGTCTCCTACTCGTCATAAACTTGATGATAAAGTGATTCGTTGTATCTTTGTTGGTTATTGTCATCAATCTAAAGGGTATCGGTGTTATGATCCTATCAGGCGCCGTATGTATCACAGTCTAGATGTTACCTTTCTTGAGCATATTCCTTATTTTCCTCCCAGTCCTGTGTCTACCCCTCCGGTTGATGATACTCCCTTTGATTTTCCATTACCACAGGAGTCAGAGTCATTGGTCATTATCCCTATAGGGTTATCTATTTCTCCTCCTTCAGAGCCACTCATCTCTGTCAGTACAGAGTTACAGGTCTCTCTTCCTTTGCAGGTGTATGTTCGTCGCCCTCGTTCTCATCACCCTGCTGATGTCCCCTCTACCTTAGGCGATGCAGGTAATACTTCTCAGTTTGTTGAGCATATTGATGCACCTGTTATTAGTACTAATGAGATTACAGGTGCTGAGCCAGTTCATTTACCTGATGAGATATTATCAGTGGAGTATAATTTAGGGCGTCGTTATCCGCGGCGTGATCGCCGTCCAGTTGATCGTTATGGTTGGACCACCAGGATTTTATATCTGATCTCTGCTTATGTTTCTTATGGTGATCTGTCTCCCATATTTCGAGCTTATACTATGGTCTTATCAGATACGCCAGTTTCTCGCTCTATTTCGAAGGCTATGCGGAAGCCCTAATAGGTTCTTGTCATGCAGACAGAGATGGACGCTCTTCAGCGTAATCATACATGGGATCTTGTCTCCTTACCTTCAGGGGTGAAGCCTGCTGGCTGTCGCTGGGTTTACACCCTGAAGTTTCTTGCGGATGGTACTATTGATCGTCACAAGGCTAGACTTGTGACGAAGGGCTTTACTCAGGT